CTTGCTGTTTTTAACGCTTCACTCCATTTTCCTCTCAAAATTATTTCTTATTTGTGGTAGGATTTCAGATTAGGATTAGAAAGAATATTAGGAAACATCAGAATTTTTTTTCAGTATTGGGAAATCTTGAAGCAAGGAATCCTGGGTTCATAAGAATCTCCAAAGTTTGAGAGGTCCTTGTTCCATGCAAAATTCACATGTGTTTTTCTCTCACACACAAACTGCATTTTCTGTGCAGAAATCTATTTTATCTGAAATCTGTTTTGTCTGGGCAACAGTTGGCAACATTTGTGTGGAATCAACCTTAAAGAGTGAACAGGCTTCAAAAACTTCAAAAGTATTTGGAACTTTTCTTGTGGCAGGAAGAAAACTGCTAAAATTATCCATTGCTTCTTTCAAGAATGAAATTAGTGTGAGAAAGAAATACATATCTCTCTCTCAGACCAAGGGTGGAATTTACCCAGAAATAGATGCGCCATGAAAGCAAATCCAAGCAACACAAGTTTAGTTTTAGTTAGTGGGCTGTGTGTAGGAGAACTTCATCCAAAGTCCTTCATAATTAACTTCCAATGCTGGTTGAATGGGTTGGATTCATTTAATGCTATGGAAACATGGGAGCTCTCATTTTATAGGCCCTATCTGTCCAAGGCTAGTGATGCCTTTCTAAACTGCAACTTCCATAATCCCATAGCATTAAGCTATGGCAGTTCAAGTGGTGTGAAGCTGCATTAATTCTACAGTGTAGACACAAGGGTTGCTGCACAGAAAATGTCACAACTATTTCAGTTTAGTAATACCATTTTTGGACAGCAAATCTTAGCGGGGTTTTTTTTTTTTTGAGCCAGCATGGCTAATACCCTAAAAAAGTTGAATAATACTTGGAGTTGTAATGTCTTTAACAAATGTTTCCAAGCTCTCATATTTATGCTTCATCTTGACAATAGTTTGATACCATTTTAACTACCATGCTTCTGTTCTATACTGTACTGGGATTTGTAGTTTGGGGAAGTCTCTAGAATCCCCTACTAGCAAATCCCCCTATTTCTAGTTCAGAGGAGTAGTAAAAATCCTAACCTCACCTAGTACAAAGCTCAGTACTAGGTGAGGTTAAAAGCTCAGTGCTTATTGAATTAAAATTCAAACATCTCTATCTCCTTTTTCATGCCGAATGAGTTAAGGTCACAGTGCAGAGGGTTTTTTTTAACAACGGGATGTATTTTGCCATTTTTCATTAAATGCTTGACAAAGGAAACCCGATTCTTATACTCCCACAGTGCAAGGTCATGTGAACTGTCTGTTCACCTGCCTTTTCTTTGCAGCTCCAAAAATGTATATTAGTCATCTCAGATCCTCTTTGTGGACAAAGGCGGGGTATAAATTCAATAATTTTTTTAAAAAAAATTAAGAAGAATTCCTGTACGAGCCTTATTGTAAAGGGCAACTCAGAAATGTCGCAGAAGTTCAAGGAGAGCCACCTCCACCGGCTCTGAAAGGTCTCTTCCCTCCAGCCTAATAAGAACGTTTGCTTCCCTGCTGTTCAATTTAATGCTTGGGTAGCACGAGTTAAACCGATGCCTTTGCAGCTCAGTAAACAGTCCATCCGGTTAAGCTGTAAGGCGCTCGCCCTCCATCGGCATCGTATTCAGCGTGATGGATTATTTCTCCCCGTAGATTGGATCGCGGCTGAAATTCGGATGCGTCTTAACAATTACTTTTTCAGAGCAGGGTAGCTCACTCTGGGGAGCGCAAAGCCCCTTCGGCAATGTTTTGCATGCTTGGCTTTCTCACCCATCCCCATCGCTCATCCAGCACACCTGAGATCGCGCTTGCAATGCCAACCAAGGGGTTACCTGTTTGCAATTTCGCTAGCCCTGCCACAGTGCTGTCCATGTAGCTTCTTCTGCATTCTGTGAGGCCAAACATAATTGAATATTGGAAACACAATTGCAAAAAGTCATGATAGATGTTTACAGTCCATGGGGGCTACGTTCCTGAACTTACAGTGGAAACAGGCGAACCCTATTGAAATGAACTTCCACCAGACATTGTCATCGAATCACCCCGAAGGACCTAGGAAATTCCCAGAAAGGGTATTTGCTATATCCTCCCAGGCAATTCTAGGATAATTTCTGGTAGAATCACTTGGAGGAGCTAGAAAATTGCTAGACAGAACATATTTTATTGGATCGGGATACGTAAAATTAGAGGTACTCATCCTGCAGACATGGGGCCTTTACCATCTTTAACAATAATGAAAAAAGTATAATAAATTCAACACATAGGCTATGCCACAAAAGTTCCATGAATCCAGTGAGGTTCCAGTGGAAGATCTGATTGCAGGACTCAGCTGTAATACAAAGTTTGGAGGTAATCTCAAAACATTAAACAAACAAAAAATACAGATTGGAAAGCAATAATGCTACAATAATTTGTCCTTTAAGAACTTCTTTAAAGGAGGAGAAAAGGATTCAACACCTTGGATAGTTCATTTAGAGATGTTTGTGCTAAAGGATTCAGCACCTTGGATAGCTCATATAGAGGTGTTTGTGTTAAAGGATCCAGCACCTTGGATAGTTCATTTAGAAGTGTTTGTGCTAAAGGACCCTGCACCTTGACTAGCTCATTTAGAGGTGCTGGTGCTAAAGGATCCAACACCTTGGATAGATCATTTAGAGGTGTGTTTGTGTTAAAGGATCCAGCACCTTGGATAGCTCATTTAGAGGTTTTTGCTCTAAAGAATTCAGTACCTTGGATAATTCATTTGGAGGTGTTCGGCTGGGGTTAGGGGTACAGGGTTTCCATATAAATGGAAAATACATATATACATAATGTTCAGTTTTTTCTGTTTACATAGAGGTCCTCTACCCCTAACCCCAGCCGGCTGCATTTGGTTTTTGGGTTGTATTTAGTTCAGTGGCCCACAAAAATGTGAATGCCTTTCTGAAGGTACAAAACTACAGGCCTTACACTGGGAAATTGGAAAGTGGGGGGAGAGAGAAAGATAGAGCAAAGAAGAGGGGGATGAGTATCAAAATGAAATGTTCTGATGCCTGAGAAGATTAAATATGAAAAAAATACCCAACACAGAGGGGATTATCTTTCTATTTAAAACCATCATAACTGGATGAATAAAGTACACAGTGGAAACTGACCTGAAAAATTAGCAATATTGAGACCACACAGCTTGCAAAAATCTCACCCAGGTGAACAAGCATTTGGGAACAGTTTTTAAAATATATCCTATACCTTTATTAGGTTCCTGAATATATATATATATATATATATATATATATATATATATATATATATATATATCCATAAGGATGGTTTGGTTCTATAATCCCTGATGGATCCTCACATCCACAGCACAGGACCACAATGATGATTTGCAACCTCTGATAAGAGATCTGGCATATTAATACACCGATAAAAGTAATACCGGAGTTGCCACGCTGCCTGTTGCCTTGATAGCATCTGACAACCTGCTCTCATGTTACTTATTGACTAGGGAAAAGGGTTATGGCTGTGGCTTAGCTGTCTCGCCGTCTGTCCTCCAGTAGAGACGAAAACAAGCAGGCAAAATGCAGATTACTTATCTAAATATATGCAGTAGACTCTCAGTTAACAAGAACTCTAGCAACTGGAACTCTCATGCATTCAACAACAACAAAAAAACCCCAAAAAATAATACTTTAAATTAAATTGAAAAGAAAATCAAATTTTAGCAAAAAAAATATAGACGTGTGCTGCATTAAGTTAAGATTGTCTTTCTTTGCTTTGATTTACTATAATTCAATAGGAATGTCAGGTGACTACAGAGATGGTGTTATAGTATAGTGTGAGATATATATATTTTCAGGTTAACTTATTTTTAATGGGAACTCTCAAGCAACCATAAACTACATTTATCTGGCATCTTCCAATCGCCATCGGTGCCAGTTAACTGAGCATTTATATATATACACACACATATATACATATACATACACATACACACACAGTATATATATTCTGTTTCTTTGTGGGAGTTCAGTATTAATTAATTAATTAAGTATTAATGCAGTTTGACTAACTGTCATGGTTCAATGCTATGGAATCCCAGGATTTGGTGAAGCATTAGCACTCCTTGCCAGAAGGGGCAAAAGACCATGTAAAACTACAACTCGCATGATTCCATAGCATTAAGGCACAGCACTTAAAGTGGTGTCAAACAGCATTAATTCTACAGTGTGTAGACATAGCCGATGGCATTAACACAACTGTATAGACGCACCCTGAGATACTGCTGAACTGCATCTCTGCTGCATCATGCTGCCTTTCCTCAAATCTTTTCCATGCCATTTGCTTGCTGAGAAACCCAGAGCTTGAAAACATTGTCTCCTTAAAGCTGGTGTTTATACAATGCAATTTCTTGGCCATTATTTTCCTATTTTGTAGATGTGAGGGGTAGGTAGGTTACAACTATTTCTCTGTAGAATTGAACAAACTATACACATTGTTTTAGCAAGTGTCTAGTATACATACAAACATTGGTTATTGTTCCATTTCACTTGTATGTCAGCAGATAATAATAATAATAATAATAATAATAATAATAATAATAATGGGAATCAATTTGTACTCCCTGAAAACAATAACAAATTTCACAGAATAATAATAAGGGAGATAAATAACCCAAATAGCACAAAATTGTAATTTAAGAATAGGTATACTGCTTTGAGATGTGTAGAAATATTAGAAGTTTCACTCTCACATCTTTGAAATTCTTTTCATTAATCTCAGAATCCTAATCAATGTTTTGCCTGAACTGGACCCTGAATTGCCTTGAATTTTGCCATGGGTGAAATTCATTGGGAACTCTACCTCTGCCATGCTTTTGCCACTATTTGGGATGGGTGAATGGTCAGTACTGACACTGCCAGGAAGAGTAAATGTTCTCAGATGAAGCACCCATGTGGGGCGATTTCAGTCTGTAAACCTTCCCGCCTTTGTCTCCTTAGGTCTGAAGACCATCGTAGGTGCCCTTATCCAGTCAGTTAAGAAACTCGCGGACGTCATGATCCTGACCGTGTTTTGCTTGAGTGTTTTCGCCCTCATAGGGCTCCAACTCTTCATGGGGAACCTGAGACACAAATGTGTCCGGAATTACGAGGAATTTAACTCAACCAACGGCACCTTCGCTTCGGACCAGAAGATATGGCCAACTTTGGATGCCTTCCTAAATGATCCAGGTAAACTGACTGCTTCTCTGCTGTTGCTTTCCACTCCATGCCTGATTGCATGGCTATATTTCATGAGATATGCAGATGTACCACTATGAAGAAACTCAAGAACTGAAAAATGTTAGTCCATCTTGGCAACATTTGTCCCTTTCTTAACTGATATACAGTATGACTCCATATCCAGGTTGTAATGTGAATATATGAAACCACACGTAATCAGAAACCCCTAGTGAATGCAAAAGCATACCGTAGGATCACTCTATGGTCAATGGCTGGTGTAAGCATAGCATAGCATCACCCTAAAGAGAACCTATTCTATCAGATGTGGATAAATGAAACCATGGATACTAGTTCTGTCAATATAGGGGTTATGTTGTAATTAAATAGCCAGCCATCCTTGCACAGGTTTCTTATCATGTATGGACCTCAAGGCTTTCAGACAGCAGTAAGGGTCATTTCCCCATGACTCATGTGTCATCCTTAGGGACATTGTTGTTGCCTCCAGATCCCTGACCTTCAAAAAATTGAATTTCTGCTCTAAGAGAAATGATTTTCCAGCAGAATAAGTCACACAGAATCTTTTGTATGTGTATAGATCTCAGTGTGAGAATGTTTAGGTTCATTTCCCTTGGTTCCTATCTGATACCTTTGGAAAAGTGTGGAAAAGGGGCACTTCTGCACTAGGTTCTGCCATCAATGGGTTCCTGTAGCATAGCAAGTGATATCCTGAATGGCCAAAATTGTCCCTACCTGCATTAAGAGGATATTAAGAGGGATATTGCCATTCCCTTCCACCCTTTTATCCTTCTTTCCTTCTCTCTTCCCTCCCTCCCTCCCTTCCATCTATCTATCCATCCATCCATCCATCCTTCCCTTCCAACCTTTCTCCTTCCCTCCCTTTTGTCTTTCATTTGTCCGACCACAAACCAAATAGTTCTTCATCTTAATGAGCATCTTCCTTCAGCCTGGTTGACTTCTGTATTGATTGATCTGCAAATTCCATCATCAATTCATCTATAGAAAAAGGGTCTGGAGATTATGTGCGTTGTAGATCAATGCATCTCTGGGTTCCAGTTTATTGTTGTATGCCTTCAGTTCATTTCTGATTTATGGCGATCCTTAGGTGAAGCTACCAAAGGTAAACCACCCACAAATATATCCTACCAAGGGGTTCCTTGGTAGGATATATTTGTGGGTGGTTTACCTTTGCCTTTCTCTGGGGCTCCAAGAAAATGTGACTTGCCTAAGATCACCCAGTGGGTTTCCATGAAGAATCCTGGTTCCTATATTCAAACTACAGCACCGTGTTGGCTGTCATGCCAATCCACTCATCTCAAATCACTACATTGCACTGACTTTAAAGCCAATTTGGAAGAGATCATGGCAGAGGTGTCCAACCTTTGGACTCTAACTTCCAGAAGCCCTGACTAGCTTGTCCAATGGCCAAGAATTCTGCATGCTGAAGCCCCACATACCTGGAGGAACAAAGGTTGGACACTACTGATTTAGCGTTTTGGATTCTGGTTTGGCATTTTAATCTGAGCTCCCCATGGACTTGTCAATTGGGTACTCTTCCATTATCTGGGCAAAGGCCAAAAGGAGGTGCTAGACAGAGAAGGATAGTCCATTTTATGGTGGGGGGGGGAGGGAGTTTGAAGGAGTAAAACAATTTCCCCATTTTCCTGTTATTTCCCCCACCCATGTCACCATTGTGAAACCAACCCTCGTTTATGAAATGGGAAGTGGGGAGGGGGAATAACCAGTGAAAATTGGGAAAATGGTTTTCCTCCTTCAACCCCTCCCCTCAATAAAATGGACTATCCTTTTCTGTGTAGCACCTCTTTTTAGCCTTGGCATGGATAATAGAACTGTACCCTCAATTGCCTTTGTACCTCACTGTATGATTGTTTGGCAGCTTCCTAGCCAAGGGATAAAAAACCTGCCTCTTGTGGAAGAGTTTCTCTTCCCCACCAAACAATTTCCTTTGTCATGAATCCATTCTCAGTTGCTGTGTGGCATTGAGTTGTTGTTCTGTTGGCTTTCAGATATTTTGTAGTACTATCGCCTTAGCTTTTAGTTGTGTCTTGCCAACGTGAGAGTCTGTCGGTAGACTTGCTTGTGGAAGAGTCACTCTAAAATGTCAGACTGAATCTGTCTGGAATCTTTAGGAATATCCTAGAATCAAATGCCAGCAGATACCAAAGGCTCACTGTACACAATTGCAGTGTTTTTGTGATACAATTCATTGTAGGCATATCTGTTGACCTGGGCATAATTGAATTGTAAAGAAGTGGAGAGGTGTAACTATTTGAAACCAGGGTGAAGTAATAAGCCCAAACTGAAGTGCCTGTTCCTGCAAGAACAAAGGGCTTCCCCATTTCTCCACTAATGGAAGTGGTGTTACAATCCATCACTATGTGTATATATAAAAAACTAGCTATAGAACAGTATCTTTGGTTGAATTTCAAATTTATCAAGGCAATGAAACAAACAAGAAAAAACATGTAAGAGAGAGAAAGAGGGACATGTCTGAACTGGTATTTTGTGGATGGTGAAAGAAATCAAATTAATAGATGATGAATAACAAAACTCTGCCACAAACTAGTTTGGGCAGGAAGGTTCTTGGAACAGCAGAGCAACAGCAAACAGCAACTCAACATACATTGGGATCTGGATTTGAACATCATTATAGGTTCCCTCCCATTTGCATCTGTTTGGTGCACCATATAGCAGCATTGCTGGTAAAAACACTGTGACGTCGGTTAGTCCCAGCCAGAAAGGACCCATTGAATCACTTGCTAAATAGTGAATGACGTCTCTTCCAACAATTCACAAGTGGAAACCAACCAACATAGAATCAAAGAGTGGGACGAGACCTCATAGGCCATCCAGTCCAATCCCCTGCCAAGAAGCAGGAATATTGCATTCAAATCACCCCTGACAGATCGCCATCCAGCCTCTGTTTAAAAGCTTCCAAAGAAGGAGCCTCCACCATGCTCCGGGGCAGAGAGTTCCACTGCTGAACGGCTCTCACAGTCAGGAAGTTCTTCCTCATGTTCAGATGGAATCTCCTTCTTGTAGTTTGAAGCCATTGTTCTGCGTCCTAGTCTCCAGGGAAGCAGAAAACAAGCTTGCTCCCTCCTCCCTGTGGTTTCCTCTCACATATTTATACATGGCTATCATATCTCTCAGCCTTCTCTTCTTCAGGCTAAACATGCCCAGCTCCTTAAGCCGCTCCTCATAGGGCTTGTTCTCCAGACCCTTTATCATTTTAGTCGCACTCCTCTGGACACATTCCAGCTTGTCAATATCTCTCTTCAATTGTGGTGCCCAGAATTGGACACAATATTCCAGGTGTGGTCTAACCAAAGCAGAATAGAGGGATAGCATGACTTCCCTAGATCTAGACACTATGCTCCTATTGATGCAGGTCAAAATCCCATTGGCTTTTTTTGCCGCCACATCACATTGTTGGCTCAGGAACAATGAGGAAGAAGACATAAGCTTAGAGCGGCTGCAGCAGTTTGCTTTTGCTTTCACTTATTGGGAAGGAAGGGAGCCCCTGGCGGTGCAATGGTTAAACCTTTGTGCTGGCAGGACTAAAGACTGACAGTCGTAGGTTCGAATCCGGGGAGAGCACAGATGAGCTCCCTCTGTCAGCTCCAGCTCCCTATGCAGGGCATGAGAGAAGCCTTCCACAAGGATGGTCAAACATCAAAACATCCGGGCATCCCCTGGGCAATGTCCTTTTGTCACAGCAGAAGTGACTTGCAGTTTCTCAAGTCGCTCCTGACATTAAAAAAAATGGAAAGGCATACCCTCTCCATTTTCTGTTGAATGCAAACTATTTTTGCATTATGAACTCAATTTGTATTTGTTGAAGTAATCTGGAGACAAAGAAGGAAAGTGGAAGAGACAGAAGCTAGGACATTATGAAAGCAGTTGAAAAGATGGAATGGCAAAGGATTAACTGGGATTGTTTCTACCAAACTGGGACAGTTGGGGTGGGAACATGAAAAAAAAAACCAACAACACATAGACAAATTTAGTGGATTCAATGTCTAGAATTTAATTGGGTCTGGCAATAGAATTCCATTAGTAGCCAGAAAGCCAAATATTTCCAGGTTTGCAAAGTGCTCCGTAAGACTAAAGGAAATGTCTTGAGCTGTAGGGCATCAATTCATTTCCCGAATGTTTACAATTTCCCCTTGTCATATGATTGTACTGTTACACCTCTCTCTCTTTGTGTGTGTGCTTGCTTTAGGGCCAGATATGAACAATAGTGCCAGTAAATCAATCATTTTGTAAGTTTTATTCAGCGCTGAATGACTTAACATCATTTGAGGGCTATTGATCACACTACATAATAAGATTCCGCTTTTCAATTGCTGGAAGATTGATGTTGCAAATGCAGACAAAGCAAGGATTAGGGACGTTGAGTTCGATCAAACAAGGACTAGATTAAGTAAAAGCCTGCCATTGTTCATTAGGAAGTGGTGTCTCAGCCAGAATCCAGGGCAGGTGGTTGGCTCAGGACATCATGGGCTATTCAGAAGGTTAGTACCTGCAGAACCCACAAGATAGAGCCCAAATACCTGTTCCTGAACTTCATTGTGGGCATGGCCCTCTTGGGTGGACTCCAGGAGTTCTGTGGCCTTCTATCAAGAGTCTAGAAGTAGATGAACCTCTTTAGGATGTCACACATGAGAGACAGGAGAAAGCTTATTTTCTTCTATTATACTGCTAGCAAGAGTAAGTTCAATGAGGGTCAAATAAAAGTAGTCAGACATGTGTGCAGCTAAAGGATGTTGGCTATTCATGTGATATCCAAGGTGCTGAATCTAATTGAAGTATGATATCCCCTTATTTGGGTAGGTCCTTTCAAGTTCAGAGTAAAACCCTATAGTAGATTCACTGCTCCACTAACACAGAAACCATCAGCTCCCAAGGGAACAAGGATGCTAACATGGATTTCACTGGGACAACAAAACATCTAACATGGATTTCAC